TTGTATTGATAAGAAAGAACAGTTCTCAAATAGGCAAATAGATGGACCACTGAATCAGCTTGGAATAAGGATAGCACATAAGACAATAAACTTTATTTCATTATTTCAACTTCAGGGGTAGGTGTTGCCATTGACTGCAAGTTAAGATTTACATTTAGAGAAGGGTGGGTGGGAAGGATGTATTGTCAGCACCAACCTTCTCTCCTCTAGCATGACCCAAAAGGCCATTAGGCAAAGAGAAAGCATTAAGAGAGAAGATAGTCATGCAGATTGTAAAGGAATTGCTCAAGGTCCTAAATAAAACATGCTATTTTCTAAGTAGAATTAAAAACAGCTTTGCCCGGATATGATAAGGTCCCTTCTAGATTCTGGAAATGGTAGTTTCTATGTGTTCTATAGAGAAAGAGGTCCAATCCATCATCTAAAACCATTCATTACATTATATCAAATTTTACATTTGTAGACTGGAAAAAGCATTTTACCATGTCATGTTAATACTTTATCAAATCGTTACTAATGGTTTGGGAGGACCACCTTTTGGAGAAGGACAGAGCGGGACTGGATAATGATGAAACATTGATTTGACATCCTAACAGCTAAGGCACTCTTAAATAATGTCTGCAAGGGAACAAAGCAGCTTGTCCCAGTTTTCCACAACAAAAAAACCTTTCAAATAGTTGTTATTCACATAGAAATGTATACATAGAAATGTATTTGAATAAAGGTCACAAACTCAGAAATTGCTGTGCCAGATTTGAGGTCGTCTGTAGGCTGAGTTTCATACACCGTTGCATTGGAGAAGTCCAGGTCATGGCACAGGCTCCGCCCACAGTCTGGCTGCCGGGAGTCTTACAGTGCTTCTGTGAGAGGACTCAGAGATAAGGGCTGGTCAGCTTTTCTTCCCTTTACCAGGCACAAAGGTCCACGCTAGAGAGTATGCTTTTGTTCTTCCAAAACTTGACAATTCTCATAATCACCCCATGGGAAGGAAAGCTTCCATCCTTTCAGAGGAGTCACGGAGGCATGGTGCGGAGCGACATTGACCCAGAGACCCCCAGGTCTGCCCATTCTATGCTGTCCCTCCATCTCCCCACCCCACTGGGCTTGTGGTGAGATTACACGCATCCTTCCTCACTTCAGTAGGTGACTGCCTTTTGTAGAGTTCTTCCCAGCACAGGTTTTTATTCCAAGAGACAAAGGGAAAGCTGGCTGACCATGAACCAAAACATTCCCACAGATCTTCATTTATAATATTGTGATCCAGCTATTTCATTTTCATTTCTCAAAAATCACTTTCTGAGAATGGCTCAGAAAAAAAGCATCACAATCCCCACGTGGCTTTAGGTGCCACCTGAAATGAGAGTCCACTGGCGCTGCGTCAAGATAGGTCAAGGCTATGCATTTAAGATGAAGTCTCTTTCTTCTCTTCTTTAAACCTAATCTGTCTGGGAGAAACAGCCCAAGACGCATCATCTTGAAACACACTTGTTTGATTTCATTTCCACAGTGCCACCTCCAGCCTCATTCACACTGTCACAATGCCTGAACATGTACAGTTTGGTTCATCATGAGCATTATACATAGACTGTCAAAACATTCACCAGAGAGAAAGAAGATTTATCAGTTTTTAAAGCTTCAATAAGAAAATGGAATTAATGTCATCAAATTAAAATTATCTCTAACAGTGCATGTACTCTGTTGTTTCAGAGTAGAACAGTGAAATGAAATTTGTGTATCTGTCATTTTAAATTAAGAAGTATCCTGGAAATGATATTAAATCTGAAATATTGGGGAGGGGCATGGAAATTTAAAGAAGATATTTAATTGTGAAATGTCAAATAAGGACACAAGGTTTTATTTTTTCATTTCTACCATTCTTCCAAGGCCACTTGGAAGATCAGATGCTGTCGCCAAATCGTCTTAGCCTCGTTTCCTATAAACTATTCCATAAACAGTTGAGGCTCAAAGTGGGCTTTTTGTCTGAAAGATGGCGATCTCCAGGATGTGACAAGTGCTCTTGGAATATTTACAGTGTAAAGAGATACCTTTGTTTTAATGAGTGGTCTGGTAGCTGGTTGTGATCTCTGCCGCTGAATTGCCGATACTCCAGTGACATTTTCTGTGGCTCCAGCCCCACCCCAGAAATGATACAGATTTGGGTAGTGAAGGTGACTTTAGCAAATCACCCAGTTCCAGGTGAATCCTTGACCTGCACATGTCAGAATTATAGGACTAGCAGGGACTTGGAAGTTCCTCTAGTCTTTCTAGGCATTCAGGAGGAACTGTCTACTGGCACTTGACTTGGCCTTTTATAATTTTCTAAGTATGATAATGAAAATGTTATTACATCTTAACTCAGGACCTCCTGGAGAGGGAGGAAAGGTATCATCATACAGATGAGAAAACTGAAATATCAAGACTAAACTGTGAGCATGTCAAAGTAAGCAGCAGTAGAAACTAATTACCCAAGTCTCATCATTTTTCTCTTCCTACCATAGTTGAGAAAACTAAGAACACAGTTCAGGCCTGGGTTCTGGTCACTTCTCTGTCACTGTCCAGCTGTGTACTCTGAGTAAATCACAATGTCTTTGCAGCTCAGTTTCCTCATCTACAAAATGGGAATAATATTTCTGCTCTACCTGCCTACAAAGTAGTTTGTGTGAGGAACACACAGAATGCATAGTCCCTACCTTCTTTGCCCATGCTAGAAAAAGAGGATGTAAAATCCTTACTACCAAAGTGACAGGAAAATTGAGACCACATAGTATAAGGATCGAGGATGAGCAGAAGCCTGAAGTCCTCACCTGTCTTCTAATTAGATATGTTTCTTTTGTCAAATCAATTAGCTTGTTTCTCAGTTTCCCCATCTAGAGACTTAGCAGGTCTTCCCAGAACATCTTGAATGTTTCTTATGATTCACTCTCTGAGATTTCTATCCTAATTTTCTTTCCTGTACATCATGCTGCCTCTGAGACTGCTATTTTCCCTAAAGATGAACGGCTAGAACATTTACATGCTGTAAAAAGGCAAGGTATTGCCAAATCAGTGTAACACATTTGCAGTCCTACTATGATTCTTTTTTAAGGACTGTTAGGAGCCTGTAGCAGCCTAATGGAATTAAAATCACCAGGCAGAGCATAAAGAGGAATAGGGGGGAAATTATTTTAGGATCTACTAGGACACTGCTGCCTGTGGCCTACTCAGAGGCTCTCACTAAGATCATTAGCCTGTGTGACACCCGACAGGGACAGCCCTCTCAGAAGTGTCCCCTCTTTCCCAGGGATCTTTAGCGCCATTCAGCTACAGCCAGAGTGGCCAAAGTCAGCCCCTCAGAGAATTAGCCGCTTAATTAGATTTGGAGAACAGAAGAGAAAGGCAAGTTTTCAAGGTATAATATAGGGAAGACTTGAGGAAAAGGGAAAGCCAGGGCAGAGTGGATGTTTTCGCATTAGCATTTCACTACTTCTGATGCTAGGAGATTTAGAAATTTACAACAAAATGGTCTAATGCCATAAAAAGCTAGGAAGAGCATCTTTTCTGGACTTGAAGAGTCATCTATCAAGAGGGATCATCCTCCCTCAGGCTACTTCCCTCGCCCCCACGTGGACTTAGTGGGCTGGGGGCCAGGCGGAAACCAGTTGTGACTTCTCCAGTCATGGAGGAGAGGGTGTCTGGGACACACTGCACCCACATCTGGAGCCTGGAGAATCACACTCTGTCCCAATTGCTACCTGCCCTTCTCAGTCCACTTTGTTTATGGTGTTCCTCACAGGGACCACGGTAGGAGGGAGAACATGGTGAAGAGCATCTCTTTGCTCCTGGCTGAAAGAAAAATTCCTTTTTTGCACCTGTTTTGGTTTTTTTGTGTGTGTGTGTGAGGAAGATCAGCCCTAAGCTAACATCCATGCCAATCTTCCTCTTTTTGCTGAGGAAGATAGGCCCTAGGCTAACATCCGTGCCCATCTTCCTCCACTTTACATGGGACGCCGCCACACCATGGCCTGACAAGCAGTGCGTTGGTGCGTGCCCGGGATCCAAACCCTGGGCCGCCAGCAGCAGAGCGCGCGCACTTAACCACTACGCCACAGGGCCGGCCACTCTTTGCACCTGTTAACACACACACCACACACATTCACACACCACACACACATACACTATAAACTTATTTTGGCCCAGCCCTTGACAATTCACAAAATGTTATCTTGATCCCCGCATAAGACAGTGAGGAGAGGGGGCAAGTGCCATCCATTTCACAGATGAGAAAATTGAAGCTCAGCAAATATAGGCAATTTGCCCAACTTCCCAAAGATAAAGGGGAATTCAGGCCTCAAACCTAAGTCTCTTGACAGCAGACCTAGTCCTCTTTCTACCCTTCAGAGGGAATCCTACCTTTGTTCTTCTAAGTGAATCTGAAGGTTTTTATTTAATGCTTAAATTATGCAGAACAACATATGTAGGTAGATCGAAAAGAAAAGAAATGGCCTCTGATCTTGAGATAACTTTTTATAAATAAATCAGCAAATTATAAACGTCCAACAGAAAGCAAACTTGCATGTGCAGTGATTCTCCAAAGCATGCAAGAGGGAAATATTGGTCGGGAATCGTGCTAGTGGGCTGCAGAATGGGGGAATTGGTTTTCTGGAGGAGGGAGGTTTGGAGCTTGCTTTCTGGGTCCTATTCTCAGAGCATCCACTTGGAGCATCTGTTGAAATCGCAGCAGATGGAGCACATCAGAACTGTATTTTCCTTTTTATTTTATCCTTAGTCCCTTGGAGAAACCTGGCACCTTGGGTACTGTGGAGATAAAATAAAAGTTCATTTTTATATCACATTTATAATATAAAGACATAAACATGACTTGTTCCTGGGGAAGGTATTTCATTCTTTTCCCTCCCTGGTGGATTTTATAATTAAGCCTTCCTGAAGTGAAAACTACAAATGAGATTTAAATGTGATCTTTTCTGAATAATGCGCTCAGTTGTTTTGTTTTGTTTTCGCAGCGTCGATGGACATCTGATCCCCTGCTGCCTTTGTTTGAAAACCAAGAAGTTTTGTTGCGCTGATTTAACTGCCTGCAGTTTTTGCTGATGCTCTCATGAAAAAAAAAATGCTGATTCTGTCCTTTTTAACCCGTGTGAAACTTTGACTTTTCATACACTTGTTCATTCTTTTACCCTCCATCAAGATGTCTGAACCTGACTCTTCGTCTGTGTTTTCGGGAAATGTGGAGAATGGAACTTTCCTTGAGCTGTTTCCCACATCCCTGTCCACATCGGTGGACCCGTCCTCAGGCCACCTGTCAAATGTCTACATCTATGTGTCCATATTCCTCAGCCTTTTAGCATTTCTGCTTCTGCTTTTAATCATTGCCCTCCAGAGGCTCAAAAATATCATCTCCTCCAGTTCCTCCTACCCGGAGTATCCAAGCGACGCTGGAAGTTCTTTCACCAATTTGGAAGTCTGTAGTATTTCCTCTCAAAGGTCCACTTTTTCAAACCTTTCTTCATGAAGAAAATGGAAGAATCCTTGCAGGCTGCAGCTGCTTAGGTTTTCCTTTACAGGAAATGTTGCATGAAGCCATTGCCTGATGAAAGAAATGACCCTTTTGATTTTGTCAACTAATTAGGCCTGTTTCCCCTTCTCCTTCACGCCTGATTTTTTTTTTCCGTTCATGATGCTTTTCATTTGTGAATGTAGAAGCTGATGCTGACAGAAATGCGTGCAAACCTCGAGGTGCAGAATTTCACACAAACCACTTGAATCTTCAAGTTCATTCCACTCTGTCGGACACCTGAGGCAGAAGTCACCAGAGGGGGCCTCGCAGTGGGTGCCGGATATGGACTGCATACTTCATTTCTCTTACAAAACCGTGAAATTAACTCAACCAGCAGAAACTGGCAAAATTAAGTCTGAGCTATTTAGAAGATATTTTCCATATTTAAAACATAAAGTGGAAACACCAAATTTTAAAAAAGAGTCAATTTAGATTTAATGTATAACATTTTTAAAACGGGAGGCAAGATATGCTAAATGTTTTATTTAATTTCACCTTAACAAATGAAAATCATTTATTGATGAATTAAGTCATATTTGGAAAGGTTTTGGAAGAGTTTAATTTTTAAGTAGCAACACAAATATGTGTTATGATGCAGTTTGTAATGTATTTCTCCCTCTTGGGGGTTTTTTCCTACTTATGTTGTAGTCATAATGCCCCACAGTTGTGGAATTCTTTGTGATAATTGTTACTGTTACTAAGAGAAGCACCAGAAGAGACATCAAGATGTTTTTATTTTATAACTATAATTTCCATCAGCAGGAATTAAGCACATGGGAAATATTCATTCAGTTGTGTTTTATGTAGTAATAACTCCTAGGAGTCATGTAAGTGTGTTCCTTTATTCAGTTTCATAGTCTTTATAATTTTAGTGGAGAATTATATTAACTCTGAGATGTTAGATGTTTGTTCATTCACATTAGGTGGCAAAACTTAGAGACTGAATTGTTAATATACATGTTATTATATACTTCATGAATGTTACATGTCTCTGATATGTAGTTGTTGTATGTTAACATAACATTCTGCATTAGGACTCCAGGACAAGCGTTTGTATTAAAAACTGTAGATACTCAAGTTGTGTAGCTGCTGGGAGCTGCCATACTGTGGGCAGCCATGCACATCTGAATTCAGGGGCTTTGTCCATGAAATGAGGCATGCACATGAGCAAACACGGAATGTGGAGGAAGTCAAGCCGCCTCTAAAAACAAAACAAAGCAAGCAAACCACAGCTGCTTAAGAGTAAGAATTTTAATTTAATTTAAAAAATAAATGGCCCACAGCATAAACACTGAACTTATTCAGCCTCTGGAGCCCACTGCATCAACATGCCCCTGTCTTCCCATGGCAACTGGATCTTTCTTGTTCAAAACATTGACTAATCTTAAGTGGTGGAGCTTCAGTGCACACTTTGGTTCGATTGTGTGGCCGCGCTATCCAGTAACTGGAATGGGATGAAGAATCCACCATTTTACAGAGTATATCTTTGTCATTCTAAAATGCTGAGAGAGATGAGGACTGGTAATGAGAATCAGAAGGTTTCTTTTTCTTAATCCATAAGCCGCACTTAAATCAGATGACACTGAACTATTTATACATCAAAAATGTCCCCAAACACCATAGACCTGCCAGAGTTGCTACCCTAAAATGTACAATTAGTGAAAAATTTGCCTCTGCTGCCCTTAAAGCATGGCGGTGTTATTATGGGAGTGTTTATTATGCAGTATAAATCCTGTACTAGAAAAGGTCTGCTATTTTAGATCATTATTAGCATTCTCTGAAGGTGTGTGTGTGTGTATACAAGAATATATGTATATATTCACACACTCCCAATTAAAACTTGTGTGAAAGCTACACAGGATTACAGAGGCATCTATATTATCACTTTTGCTTTTTGATTAATCTTGTGCTATTTTGGTTACTGAGGAAGAGAGGACAGGGATGAGGTTATTTTAAAAACAAAAGGAACAAGTTTGCCACACAACGGGACAATCTGAGTATGATCTGTTCTAAGGGGTAACTTTATACTCTTTCCTTCTGGAAGAGATATAAAGGCTTCTGAAAGTAACACTATTTTTTTAAAAATCTGCAGGCACATCCCCTCCCCTCCTGGCCACAATGGTTCTTGCTGTCGAGGTTAAGCAGAGTAATTAGGAGCAACATTCAAAGATGTAAAATAGAATTTGTCATCACACGCTTGCCAAGATAGCAGACTGTACAACTTGAGAAGAATTTGTGTTGTATAAGAAGTTCAGAAAGGTTGGAAGACTGGTTTATAAATAAAGACGTAGAACCCATTGAAAGCCTGGTCTTCTCTTGTTTTCAGTGATGTGGTCCACAATCTTCTCTCCTAGCGAGGCTTTTCCATCACTCTCTTTCTGCATGTCCTCTCTGAAGCAGGGTCAATAATATGTGGCCCAAATGTCAGCCTCTGCCCACCCCTGTAAGGGTCATCTCCCTCTAGGACAGTGAGTCCCACACTTTCCAGATCAGAAGAGTCACCGGAATGCTTGGAAAATAGTCAGGTTCCCAGGCCACAGCCAGACCTCGGGAGTGGAGCCAAAGAACCAGTATGTTTAATAAGGACCCCAGGTGATGCTCGTGATCAGTGGGACACACTGTGGCAGAGGAAGGGTCACACATATAGTCATGCACCACATAATGACGTTTCAGTCAATGACAGACCACATATACAATGGTGGTCCCATAAGATCATTACCATATAGCCTAGGTGTGTAGCAGGCTGTTATCATCTAGGTTTGTGTAAGTACACTCTGTGATGTTCACACAATGACTAAATTGCCTACTGATGCATTCCTCAGAACGTGGTCCCGTCATTAAGCAAGACATGACTGTATTGCTCAAGTGTATTTGTGGAGGACAGGGGGTCTTACCTCTCCTCCACTGCCTAAGAAACTGCTGTTTCTCCAAACTAAGTGTCCCCTCCAACACAACTCATAGCACCGCCCCCCCTCCAACCTCCTCATTTTCTTGCTCGGGTCTGAACTCCAAGCCTCCCTCCTCAGTGGAAAGCTGCTGCCATCACACCGGGCTCAGTGGAAAAGGGATGTGAGGAAGGTCACATCACCTTCCCTTCACATTTCTTCATCCCCCACCACACCACTTTCACAAGATCATGCACACATAATCAGCTAGGTTAGAGGATGGGGGTTAGCGATGGGATTTATAAAATGAGAGAAAATGGTTTACACTGTATAACCAATAAGACTATTCCCACAATCCAAAGGAAAACAACAGCACAACTAGAAAATGCAACATTCTCAAGGAGAAATGCCAGTTTCTAGACTTGCCACCCTTCCTGAGGTCCTCCTTTCTTTGTCAGAGAGGCTCCCACTTCAAACCAATGCCAGGTCCCACTCTCCTTTAGAAAGTCCTCTAGGATCCATCCCAATTGGTACCACACACAGAACCCAAGCCTTCAGTACTGCATTTCCCAGAGCCTGAGTTATTCAGGATGGAATGCTCCAAGGGCGTGTGTGCAGAGGGGAGAGTGTGGGTGAGTGGTGAGGGGAGGCTGTAGTGGAAGAGTCCTAAGGGAAGCTCGGGGCCTCCCAGGACCAGCTCTCTTCAGTCTCTCCATCCATGAGAGGACAGTTGTGCTTCTCTTTCTTCCTGGGTGTCCAGTGGGCGGCTCTTATAATCCCACATGTGTCTGTGTGTGTGCACACATACACATACACACAGAAACTCAAGCATGCAACACACACATGCACCTCCCAAGAACAAATAACACTTCTCAGTGTTCAAAAACAACACCTTGATTTTCAAAGGTGTTACCTCAATGTAACCCTGCCTTCAATAGTGAGCAGAGCACTCTAGTCACCCCTTGCTCATCCTTCTAGTACTTCAAAACCATGCCTAAACATCTACAATTTGTGAGACAATTCATATTAATACTCCTTTTTATTGCAACAGAGCTCACTGACCCCTTAGTCGTGTCTGACTGTCCAGAGACCTCATCAAACCACTGTAAGTACTGACCGCTATTCTTTGTCTTAGATCAGATCCATTCTGAGGGATGGTGTTGCCACCCTGAACACTGTAGGGAGATATTGTCATCAGGCATTTATCAAATAAATGAGTAAGTCCCTTGTCACTAGATGTAGCAAACAGATATAGTTCCTACCCTCACGAAGCTTCAAGCTAGTGAAGAAGATAGATACCCACAAAAAGAAATAGACAAACAATATGTATAATTACAATTGCAATTAGTGCTATAAAGAGAATAAAATGGTGAAATGATGGACAACAAGGGAAGCTCATGATATGGTGGTCAGAGAAGGCCTTTTTGATGAGATTATATGTAAGTTTTGAAGTGTGTTAGGAAGAGTATTTTCTTAAATGGAAAAGCATGTACAAAGGCCCTGTGGCAAGAAAGGTCTCAGCTCATGTGAACAGAAAAGTCAGAGTGCTGGCGTGCAGCACCTGAAGTTGGAGAGGTGGGCAGGGCCTGGTAGGTTACAGTAGGAGTTTGGGTTTTATTCTGAGTGCAGTGGGAATCTATTCAAAGATTTTAAGCAGAGAAGTTAAATAATTGAATTTAAGAAAGATTACTCTAGCTGCTTTGTGGAAAATAGACCAGAGATGGGCAAAAAATCCTCTTCAGATCCACCCTGGGTGGGGCATGGGAGTGGGTGGAAAGTTGTTCTCTCTGCTGCAAATATCTGCTCCTCTTCTAGCCATGGAAACGGTCTTAGCTTAGAATGAGTGTTACCACACAAATCCCTCCTCCACCGTTTCTACCGCACACTCACCTCCCTCCCTCCCTCTCTCTCTCACACATACACACACAGATACACACTCACCTTCTCAGAGTATTTGGCCCTTGTGTAAAGTCTTTCAATCATTTTCAGTCCATGTAACTCTTACTCCAGTATTTTTAATATGATGTGTGACTAATGTTCCAATAAAACTCTAATACTTCAGTAAAGCTGAAGCATTTACAATTTTGCTTCTTTGAAAATTCCATTCCCAAAAAAGCTATCATTCTTTTTTTTTTTAAAGCTATCATTTTTACGCACTATATGGCTTACTCCTTATGATTCTAGCTTCTTGTGAATAGTTGAGATTTTTGGACAGTTTCTCCTCAGTTATCCGCCTGCCCCGTTTAACTCACTCTGTATCCACAGAACACAGGATTTGGATTCAAACAGAGCTTGGTTCAAATCCCTAAGCCCTCAGT